AGTAAATAACCCCATTTCAAACTGCCTAGAGAACTGGTTCGGCAAATGGAAGGACACTTTGGCATCAGTATTAAGTATACTTCTTCTTGTAGGATGTTGTATTATAGCCCGTGTTCAAAGACTTGTGAAAAGGCTTGTTAATACTACCCTCGCTAACCTATCTCCAACTCCTCCTCCACCCTATCCAGAGAAATTACTTTTTTTTTTTGAGACAGAGTCTTGTTCTGTCACCAGGCGCCAGGCTGGAGTGCAGTGGCGTGATCTCCGCTCACTGCAACCTCCGCCTCCCGGGTTCAAACAATTCTCCTGCCTCAGCCTCCCAAGCAGCTGAGACTACAGACGCGCACCACCACGCCCAGCTAATTTTTTATATTTTAGTAGAGACAGGGTTTCACTGTGTTGACCAGGGTGGTCTTGATCTCTTGACTTCGTGATCCACCCGCCTCGGCCTCCCAAGGTGCTGGGATTACAGGTGTGAGCCACTGTGCCCGACCCGAGAAATTATTTTGTTGGAAGTCCAAGCCAAACAACGAAGCAAGGGCCTATTAATAAATTTGAAGAATTATGAAATAAAGAGGAGGGAATTGTGAGATATGAGAAAGTTCTTCAAAGTTTATATCTTAGACTACATTATAAGGAGTTACAATCTGTTGCTCTATGGCCATTATTTGCTATTAGCATAAACCTATACCCATGTATATATATTCTCTAAATCAGCTACATCTTAAATCAGCTACCTTGACTCGCTCTGGCATGTCTGAACAGAACTGGGTAAGGTCCAAACCCTGGTGCATGCCATTCTTTATTTGGAAACCCTCCGGACCTTCTCCTGACTAGCTTCCTCTTCTTCCCTTAATTGGGTTAACCATGGAATGTGAGGTTCTGTTCTGGCCAGTGGAAACTGGACACAGCAGTAAGACGATTGCTTTAGGTTATGAAAGTCATAAATGTCCCTGTCTCCTTTGTTCAGGTGTGCTCTCGTGGCAAGACTTGCCAGTGAGTTGCACCCTTTCTACAGAAAGTAAATTAGCCTTGCAGATCAATCCATTGTCTGGGTGTGGATTCTTCTCACTCTTATAAACCTGTTTCCTACACCTAAATAATGTGGATGTAACCAGTAGGGCTAAGTCTAGGATATAAGATTGTTATATTTTGGTCTAGTTAAGTTTAAAAATTAATAAAGAGGAAAAAAGGGCCTATAGATTTAGAGCAGTCATAGCTATTATGTCATACCAGTAGCCTACTCATTTAGTAACTATAAATGAATCTGAGTATAATTTGGAATTGATAAAATTATGCTAAAATTCATAACGTGGCATTATTTTATTTACTGTTGCTGTCTAATATAGTATTACAAAACATAGTGATGTAAAGCAGGTATTTTATTATGGTTATGAATTCTCTGGTCAGGAATTTGGAAGGGCAGTATATAGGTGGCTTGATTCTTATTCCAAGATGTCTGGGGTCTTAGCTGAGAAGACCTTACCTTGAGATGCACTTGGCTAGAAGCTCAGATCACTTGGAGGCATCTTCCCTGACATGTCTGGCAGCTGTGCCATCTGATGACTTGGGCTTAGTTTGGCTCTTCGCTGGATGACTCTTATGTGGCTTTTTCATGTGGTCTAATTTGGGCTTCTTATGCTTATTTATTTATTTTTTGTCATTTTGTTTTTTTTTCCTTTTTGTGGAGAACGGAGTTTCACTATATCGTCAAGGCAGGTCTCCAACTCATGGGCTCAGGGTGTCCTCCCGCCTCTGCCTCCCTAAGAGCTGGGATTGCATGTGTGAGCCATAGCACCTGGCTAATTTGGGCTTCTTTATAGCATGAGAGCTAGGTTCCAAGAATGAGTGTCCCCACAGAGCAAGGAAGAAGTGTGTGGTATTTCTATGGTTCAGCCTTGGAGCTGTACAGTGTCACTTAAATTGTATACTGTTGGTTGATGGTATTATAAAAGGCCATTCAGATTCAAAGGGAGGGTGATAAAGACCCCACTACTCAATTGGAAGTATGTCAAGTATATATAAAAAGTAGGACATAATGGGAGATAATGTGGTTATATTTGGAAAATAGAATCTACATTATGAAGGGTTGTTGAAAAAGGAAAGGGTTTGAATAAAGCCATATTTAATTCATGCCCTGAGTCATGGTCTTTTTTCCTTTTATTTTCTCTTAATCTAAAGGCATTCATGGAATCTCTGAAGAATTGGGTTTTCTGATTTCCAAATTGTAGACAGTGGGGAGAAAATAAATTGCAAAACCTGCATACTTTACTTTGCATCCTGCACTCTTTCTCATGGTTTATGTTAAAATGACCATTTAGCTAACAAATTTACTGTATGGAAAGTTTAGCATGCTTTTGGCTGCTGTTCTTTAATAAAATTGACTTATCTAAAAACTGTCAATGTTAATACAAATTAGATTTTTATTAAAACATATGCACTAGTTTTCTGTTGCTGTAAGTTCCTGGAGGCTATTTATAGTATAGTGACACAGATCCATTATTCTATAAATGGTTAGGGTGGTTATTTGGGATCATAATCTGGACTGAAAATTTGACAGCAAATAAATGCTAGGTAAAGTAAAAGATAAGTCAGAAAAATTAAAGGCACAGCAAGAATATGTCTATTATGACACAAAATACTAACATTAAACTGCAAATTCTACAGATCGTACATGTATATTGCATATGTGCAACACGTAAGTACAATTTAATATAAAAGTACATGTGGAACATACATGTACAACATGACTGTAGAACCATTCTAGGTTAAGGTTCATGGTTTTTGGGAACTTTTCAGGATAAGTTGACTCCAGTCATCCAGACAGGGCCTCAAATACCAACATTTCTCCTGGTGAATTCACAGAGGGTCTTGTGCCCAGCTTTACAGGTGTAGACACCTGCTGCTTTTGGCATGCTAAGAGTGAATCGGTCTTTAGGGAGATTTAGTTAATCAGGTTTATCAGAATAAAGCAGGAAACACAGCTGTTGGGGAGATAATTTATCCACCCCTTCCATTCTTTTTGCTGTTTTCATATTTCCTCCCTATATTAGAAATCCTACCTTTCAGTGCCATCACTTTAACTTTCAACAGTATTTTAAGGAAATTACAAGAAGAAAATACAGCATATTATTTTATATTTACTGCTTGCTTACTGTTGTGATTTTCATTCCCAAACATCTGGTTTTGAATTTATATGTTTTTAAATAACTGGTAATTTTGTTTTATATTTCTTGTAATGTATGTCTGCTGTCAACAAAATTTTTTTTTTCTTTGAGATGGAGTCTTGCTCTGTTGCCCAGGTTGGAGTGCAGTGACATGATCTTGGCTCACTGTAACCTCCATCTCCTGAATTCGAGTGATTCTCTTGCTTCAGCCTCCTGAGTAACTGGGACTGTAGGCGCATGCCACCACGCCCAGCTACTTTTTTGTATTTTTGGTAGAGACAGGGTTTCACCTTGTTAGGATGGTCTTGATCTCCTGACCTTGTTATCTGCCTGCCTTGGCCTCCTAGAATGCTGGGATTACAGGTGTGAGCCACTGCGCCTGGCCCAACAAATTCTCATATCCTCTGTTTCTCTGCAAAGTTATTCTTCCATTTTGCTTTTGAAGGGTATTGAATTTTCAGTTGACAGTTATTTTTTCACAACTTTAAAGATACCTTCTGGCCTATATTGCTTCTGATGAGAAGTTGGCTTTATTTGTGTTGTCGTTCCCTTGTTTCTTTTGTCTCTGGTTGCTTTCAAGATTTTATAGTTGTTGGTTTTTAGTGGTTTGATTGTGATGTGACTAGGTAGTTTTTTTTGTATTATTTTACATGGAGTTTGATTGTAAATTCTCTCTCTCCATCAAAAGTAGGATTATGATTCATTATTTCTGCAAGTAGTTTTTCCTTTTTAATGCCTCATTTGCACTCTCTTCTTTTGGTACTCCATTTGTACTTATGATAGACCTTTTGAGGTTTCTGGCTCAACAGACTGGGTGCTCATGCCATTAATTAAGATTAAAATGCAGCATGTTCATTTGTAATCTTAAAATACAGTTTATTACATTTGACAGTTAAGAGGTCATTGGTGACCTTAGCTATAGATAGTGAAAACTGGAGTCCGAACAAGAAAGAAAGGGTTGAGGACTGAATAGGAACTGAAGAAATGGAGAGACTTATGTTTCTGTGTTTGATGCTCCATAATTATGTTTATAATCCAATGTTTTATTTTACTTTTTGGCCTTCATTATAAACAGCATCCTCTCTTCCCTCCTTTTTATAGTGTTCTGAAAAAACATAAACCATTTTATGATATGATTTCTAGGAGGATAATTGCTGTAATAAACTGCCTGTGCGTAAATAAAAGAATATTTTAATAGGATTAACATTTGTCTGACTTGGTATGACTTACAGTTGTACCCCTCTGACATTGGATATTCAAGTGGCATCTTGTTTATGTTCACGTAGCAGGAAAACTGTGGGCAGTAATACATACAAGGACCTTTTCTTTTTTTGGAGATAGGGTCATACTCTGTCATCCAGGCTGGAGTGCAATGACGCAATCTCAGCTCACTGCAGCCTCCTCCTCCTAGGTCCAAGAGATTCTCCTGCCTCAGCCTCTGGAGTAGCTGGGATTACAAGCATGCACTACCACGTTGGGCTAATTTTGTATTTTTAGCAGAGAAGGGGGTCTCTCTGTGTTGGTCAGGCTGGTTTCGAACTCCTGACCTCAGGTGATCCACCTGCCTTGGCCTCCCGAAGTGCTGGGATTACAGTCATGAGCCACCGCCTGGCCTGCATTAGTATTTTAGAATAAAGAGTGGTTACTTAGTTAACATTAAAGAAGCCCCTTTGTAGTGATTTTACTTATGATTCCAAGATGAATGTAGTTTAGTACTTCTAACCACAAATTTCAGAATATGGCAGGCACTGTTTAAGAAATGCCTGGTTATTCCAGGTGATTGTAGCATTGGATTTGTTATTGAAATACTATCTGTCTTTTTTTTCTTCCCAGTTCAAAGCAGTATTCAGCGATTTCAAGAGAAGTTTTTTATTTTCGCTTTGACACCTCAGCAAGTTAGAGAGATATGCATATCCAGGTAAGAGGAATGTTGGAATGTATTTCTCATGAATATTGGTTTATTCACCTGTAGGGCTGCCATAACAAAATTTCACAAACTGGACAGTGTAAACAACACTTTATTTCTCAAAATTCTCAAGGCTTCTGTCCAAGATCAAGGTGTTGGCAGGTTTGATTTGTCCTGAAGCCTTTCTCCTTGGCTCACACGTCTCAGATGGCCTTTTTTTTGTGCTAGTGCATCCCTGGTGTCTTCCTCTTCTTGTAAGGACACAGTCATATTGGATTAGGGACCTACCATGTGCCCTTATTTAACTTTAATTTCCTCCTTAAAGGCCCTTTCTCCAAATATAATCACGTTGGGGGTGTTAGGACTTCAATGTATGAATTTTGGGGATACACCATTCAGACCATAACAGTTGACCTGTTTCTCTTATGAAAGGGTAGTATATTTTGAATAAACTCAGCCAAATATTTAGTTAATACTGTTTATTAGAACAAATTGTTAGCCTTTGAATAAAACCTCAGAATATCTTTGTTAAATATGCGCTCTGAATGAAGAGACCCCCCCCCAAACAGGCTTTGTGTGAGCAACATGGCTGTATGTGGGTGTGGGCAACCTGGGTGTGGGAAGGCTGAGTCTGAAAAGAGAGTCAGCACAGGGTGGTGGCATAGGAGTTGGTTTTATAGGTTTGGGGTAGGCAGTGGAAAGTTACCGAAGTACAGTTCAGGGTAGTCTTTGCAAGCTGGGAGGGGGTCATAGGCTCTGGAGTCACGAGGTTGACCAAGGTCGGTCACAAAGTCCAGTTGCTTTATCAGTTGAGGCAGAATTAAGGAACAATAGAAGAATGTCTCATAGTTAATTAGGCAATGCAGGGGTTGATCATTTCTTCTCCTTTTGTGGTTTTCCAGTTAATTCAGACTTTCTAGTTCTTAGAACTCATTTGGAGTAAGAACTCATCAGGTCAAAGAGGTTATGCTGTCCATGGCATAGTCAGCTGGCCTAAAACACCTTATATTCCTGTCTTTTTATATTTGTCATACAAAGAAAAAAGAAATGAAGAGTGAAGGGCAGTAGCCTATTAGGAAGGCTGGCACAGACTGGTGATAGGGCCATGTTTCTCAGTGCTTTTTTGAGTGGGATTGGAGGCAGCATGGAAACATAAAAATGGGAAAGAATTTAGACTGCTGAGAGATTTTAGGGCAAGGGTTAATATTGTGCGGTTGTTAAAAGGAGCATTTTGTTATATTGACTGGTTATAGCTTGGATACAATTTTGTAGGAATTGAGAGGTTAGTTGGAAAAGGCAAGGTCCAAATAAGAGAAGGAGAAAAATGGGTATAAAGGGGCCTGCTAATGGAAGGAGCAATGATATCCAGTTAGAGAGTGGCTAGCTAGGTTGAAAATAATTATTTGCCTGATTATCAAACTTTTGGGCTCTGTCTTTCCATTTATTGATGGCATCATATATGAGGCCAGACTGGTTTGCATAAAAACATTCTTCGTTTAGGAAGAGGCAAAGACCTCGTTTTTCAGCAGTTAGTAAATCAAGACCTCTTCAGTTTTGGAGGACAGCTGCAGTTAGGGAATTTACTTGAGCCTTAAGAAGGGATAGTGATTGAGTTATTTCTGTAATGCTAGCACAGAAATCATTAGAGAGGCTACAGAAGGTGACAATTGAAGTGGTAAGGCCTGCTGTGCCTTTGCCGAGTGCAGTAGTAATTTCTAACCCTACAAGTAAGGGGATCAATGGAATGACCCGCTTGTGTCGGGACCACAAGGGGAACAGGGAGGCTTTCGTCTCTGTAAACTGAATTTTGGGAACAAGGAAAACTAGGGTAGAAGTGCCTGTCCAGTTGGTAGGAAGGCAGATGTAAGAAGAACCACAGAGGGAAAAAAAAGTCCTTGGCTTAGGCAGAACTGGAAGTGTAAACTGAAAAGATGAGAAAGTGTTCTGCGGGGGATGGTTGGAGTCTTTTACCCGGATACCAAAGGAACTAGCAAGGGCCATGGCTGTTAAAGGCTGTGGTAGGGTTTAGTGGAGTAACTGTGTGGAGGGAGAGCTTTTGTTTTCATGATGTATGAGGAAGTGTGTGGTACCTATAAGTAACCACTCAAACAGAGACTTTCTGAGGTGTGATATAAGTAGCAGGGGTGACTGCGTTAAGTATTGGTGTTAGGAAAAAGATGCCTAATGAAAGTAAAAGGTATGTTAGGTTTATATTGGGTTACTCTTCCACTTTGGGGATATGGGTGAGTTTAAGAGAAGTGGGGGAGAGTACTTGCTACTTCCAGGAGGATGTGGAGGAGTCAGGCTGATTGTCTGATGGACACAGCTTTATCCTGGAATGATGGACCCACTGGGGAGTGTCTCGTAGATGGACAGTGATTGGGGTGCTGTAGACTACCAGAAACGGTCCTGTCCATTGAGGTTGCAGAGACTGAGGGATTAGACTTTTAACTAGGACTGACCTTCCAGTTAGGGTGTTTTCATATGGCCAGGTATCTGGAGTGGGTAAGAGGAAATTAGCAGCCTGGTGGATTTCTTGACTGGCCTGTTGGAGGACTGGAAGATAGTCACCAAGAGGACTGGTGTCTGGAATAAGGTTAGGCCCAAGCAGAAAGGTGCGGCCATATAGGAGTTCAGAGGGGCTATACCCTGTGGGTTTTTTAGGAGTGACTTGAATCCTGAGTCCTCTGGAGTGGATAACTCCAGCCTTGGCTGGGAGGAGAGAGTGGCCTTAAGGAGGACCTTTACTGGGGGCATTGATAATAGAGGACCCTTGTGTAGTGAGAGAACCTCTTTCTGCCCATATGGCAGCATGGTGGTGTAGGATGTGGAAGGTATATTTAGAGTCAGTATAAATATTAACATGTAATCCTTTGGCAAGAGTAAGAGCATGGGTTAGGGCAATTAATTTAGCTTGCTGAGAAGTGGTGGAGGGGAGAAGTGTGACAGCTTTGATAATAGATGAGTGGGATACAACAGCATAACCAGCTTTGGCCAGTGCCAACCGACTGGGCTTTGAAGAACTGCCATCAATAACCCATGTGTGATCTGGGTATGGAATAAGAAAAAGAGAAATGTGGGGAAATGGGGAGGATTCTACATGGATTAGGGAGATGCAGTCATGGGGTTTAGGGTTTGTGTTAGGTATTAAGTGAGAGGCTGGGTTGAAGTCAGGTCCGAGAGCAATGGTTACTGTGGGGGTTTCAATAAAGAGTGCATAAAGCTGGAGAAGGCGAGGGGCCAAAAGTAAGTGTGTGAGGTGTGAAAAGGAAACTAAATTTTGGAGGTTGTGAGAGGTATAGAGAGTAAGTGGGGCATAACCTGTACTTTTAAGGGACTCTGGGAGTATTACAGCTGTTGTGCGTAAACATGACAGCCAGCCTAGGACTGTGAGGACAAGAAGGTGACTCGTTGTGGGTCTGGCTTTTGTGTAAGAACCCCTGCTGTGCAACCTTTTACTTCTGCTGTGCAAAGGGAAAAGGGTTGGGAGAAGAGTTGGAGAGTGCTAGTGGAGGGGCCATTTCCAGGGCCTTTTTTAACAAACGAAAGGAAAGAATGGGAGAAGGATTTAGGGTCTATGGGCTCAGCTAAGTTCCCTTTTGTAAGTTTATAAAGTGGTTTGGCTAGTAGGGCAAAACCTGGTACCCAGCAGCAAAAGTATTTTGAGAAAGGATTTGACTTAAGTAATGAGGGCTCTCTCGGAAACCTTGGGAAGAACAGTCCAAGTTAACTGTGGGACCGGTGGGTGTCAGGGTCAGTCCGAATAAAGGTGAAAAGAGGCTGAGATGAGGGGTATAAGGGGATGGTAAAAAGGGTGTCTTTCAGGTCAAGAATAGAATACTGAGTTGTGGAAATGGGTATGGAAAATAGGAGCGTATTGGGGTTTGGTACAACTGGGTGGATGGGAAGCACAATCTGATTAATGAGAAGAGTGATTGGGCTAATCTGCAGGATTTGTCTGGTTTTTGGACAGGTAGGATAGGGTAAGGATAGTTTGTAGGAATTAAAAGGTCATGTTGTAATAGACAGATGATAACAGGCTTTAGGCCTTTTAAAGCCTGTTGTAGGATGGGGTACTGGTCCTGGGTGGAATAAGGGTGGTTAGGTTTTAAGTGGATGATGAGGGGTGAGTGACTTGTAGCAAGGGATGGGAGGTGGTGTCCCGCACCCATGAATTAAGGTAAGGGGACACAAGCGGGGGAGCTATTGAGGGAGGTATGGGCTCAGGGAGGAGGACGGCAATGAGGTATGGCTGTAGCCCGGGAATAGTTAAGGAGGCAGACAATTTTGCTAGGATATTTTGGCCTAATGGGAACTGGACAAGTGGGGATGATTAGGAAAGCATGTGGAAAGGAGTGCTGGCCTAATTGACACCAGACTTGAGTTTTGAGAGGCCTGGGAACCTTGCTGTCAATTCCCACAACAGTTAAGTAGGCCAAGGAGACATGTCCTTGAAAAGAAGACAGAGTGGAGCAGGTGGCTTCCATATTGATTAAGAAGGAGATAGACTTACCCTCCACCATAAGAGTTAACCGAACCTCAGCATCCGTGATGGTGCAGGGGGCCTCCGAGATGTTCAGGCAGTGTTAGTCTTCAGCTGCTAAGCTGAGGAGATCTGGGAAAGATTCAGTCCAGGAGCTTTGCGTTGAAGCTCCAGGAGCTGTGAGAGCAGCAACGTGAGGTGGACAGTCCGACTTCCAGTGGGGGGCCTGCACAGATGGGGCAAGGCTTAGGAGGAATCCCAGGCTGTGGGCATTCCTTGGCCCAGTGGCCAGGTTTCCGACACTTGAAGCAAGGTCTGGGAAGGGTGGCTGGACGCTGCAGTCTGGTCGCTTTGAAGTCTTTGTGAGGCAGTGGTAAGGCTGAGGTTTGTCTAAAGGCAGAGGCAAGCATCTGTAGTTCTGAGATATGCTGCCACTGGGCAACTGCTTCCCTATTATTGAGAACCATGAAGGTGAGATTGATTACTTCCTGTTGTGGGGTTTGAAGGTCATATTTTACTTTCTGTGGCT